ACGCCAAGGTAGTGGGTTCGATTCCCCGGGACCACCCATACACAAAAAAAAATTATGCACGCATGACTGTAAGTCGCTTTGGATAAAAGCGTCTGCTAAATGGCATATTATATTATATTATTATTATCATTATAGGGGAGCCCTATAATAAAAAAAGTTATAAAACACAAATAGAGTTCTAAAACTATTATGCAAGACACTAGTACCCAAAATGATAGCCTAAATTGCAATGCCTACAAGATGAAGGCCGCCTATTTTTATTTGGATAGGCCTAAAAATTCAACATTGAATTATTAAAGTGATTGAGAATTTTGATCATTTTGAATACACACATGGATTTCAATAAACAAATGGATAAGACCATTCTATTCTCTTTGATTTAGTTCCTATTGCAACTCAGAAAAATGACTGAATGGATTACATACTGACTGACTGAACTAAATGTTCAAATATGTTGGAATGACGAGTTGCACGCATCATGCTTGATCTTCACTTTATTTGGCTAGGAGGCAAATACAGTGAGGGGAAAAAAGTATTTGATCCCCTGCTGATTTTGTACGTTTGCCCACTGACAAAGACATGATCAGTCTAGAATTTTAATGGTAGGTTTATTTGAACAGTGAGAGACAGAATAGCAACAAAAAAATCCAGAAAAGCGCATGACAAAAATGTTATGAATTGATTTGCATTTTAATGAGGGAAATAAGTATTTGACCCCTCTGCAAAACATGACTTAGTACTTGGTGGCAATCACAGAGGTCAGATGTTTCTTGTAGTTGGCCACCAGGTTTGTACACATCTCAGGAGGGATTTAGTCCCACTCCTCTTTGCAGATCTTCTCCAAGTCATTAAGGTTTCGAGCCTGACGTTTGGCAACTCGAACCTTCAGCTCCCTCCACAGATTTTCTATGGGAGTAAGGTCTGGAGACTGGCTAGGCTACTCCAGTACCTTAATGTGCTTCTTCTTGAGTCACTCCTTTGTTGCCTTGGCCGTGTGTTTTGGGTAATTGTCATGCTGGAATACCCATCCATGACCCATTTTCAATGCCCTGGCTGAGAGAAGGCCGTTCTCATGATCAAGGCCATTCTCATGATCATTGCAACTCCACGAGGTGAGATCTTGCATGGAGCCCCAGGCCGAGGGAGATTGACAGTTATTTTGTGTTTCTTCCATTTGCGAATAATCACACCAACTGTTGTCACCTTCTCACCAAGCTGCTTGGCGATGGTCTTTTAGCCCATTCCAGCCTTGTGTAGGTCTACAATCTTGTCCCTGACATCCTTGGAGAGCTCTTTGGTCTTGGCCATGGTGGAGAGTTTGGAATCTGATTGATTGATTGCTTCTGTGGACAGGTGTCTTTTATACAGGTAACAAACTGAGATTAGGAGCACTCCCTTTAAGAGTGTGCTCCTAATCTCAGCTCGTTACCTGTATAAAAGACACCTGGGAGCCAGAAATCTTTCTGATTGAGAGGGGGTCAAATACTTATTTCCCTCATTAAAATGCAAATCAATTTATAACATTTTTGTCATGTGTTTTTCTGGATTTTTTTGTTGTTATTCTGTCTCTCACTGTTCAAATAAACCTACCATCTTTGTCAGTGGGCAAACGTACAAAATCAGCAGGGGATCAAATACTGAGGGAATAATGGCTCTATGGCTGCATGCCTCCAGAAGGGCATCTTCTGAGGATGAGGGGTGCTTTTCTGAAGGCACATGGTGCTGTGGTGCTGCACGGAGATCACAAGCTCTTCAACTGGGCAGCAATGTCGCGATGGAGGGAATAGCCTATACGGAGACTACCTAAGACCACTGCAACAGAGTTATTGTAAAGTGTGGGAGTAAGCTTATGCCAGACTTAGCCTACGTTTAACCTCTCCCATGTTAATTTCAATGTTCATGACCCGATTCATATAAATCATGTCAAATAATTTTTAATTAATATTAACCCCTCCTACAGAATATGCTTTGGCAAGATTTTGAGTGATGAAATAAATATCCAAATATTCTATAAAAAAAATATTGAGTGGCAAAGACTCCAGTGGGCATACATAATTCATAGATTCTATTATTATTGTTTCATTATTCCTGGTAGATACTACTGGTTATGATTGAAGACAGAGCCCAGGGAATGGGATGGTGCAATACTGAATTAGTCATATTTTGATAAGGTGCATGCATGGGGATGTCCACGTCACCCAGAGAGATGCCCATGCGGACTGAAACTTCACTGTTGTAGGCATAATACAGCTAGTGCTATCTAGACTTGCGCTGGCAAACAAATCCATTACATTAGCTACCTAATGTGAAGTAGTAGTGAACTGAGGAGTAATAGAGACTTAACTTGAAAACATGCAAGATACCTCTTTCCGGTTTCCCTGACTTCCATTTTTTTTTTTAAATACTGTGTTATGCTTGTTCGCGTAGCACTCCTCACACGCCATTTTGTGTACGTTTTTTTTGTTGGTGAGATAAACCTACCAAAACTCTGAAAGGTATTATTGTACGTCAGAATTGCAACACGATTTGTTCAAGAGTAAAATGTTAGTCCGTAATCGTAACATGGTGTTTGTATGTTCACAGATGAAATTTCATGTTTACGTTTCACGCATGGCTTTTCTTACGATCCTAACAATTTACATATGGATTTTCTTACGATCCTAACGATGCGTACGTTCAACCTTTTGGACGGTATCTCGCTCCATACAAGGACCCCTGATAGCACTGACTGTAATCAAAATAATGGTATCTAGTGGTGTTAGTTGTATAGCACCATCATTCATCTGCATCCTGTAGCACTAACTCCAAAACGTTTTGGGACACTAAAGTCCATGGAGAATAAAAGCTACCCACTGCACTGAGGCTAGGAAACACTGTCACCACCGATAAATCTACGATAATCGAGAATTTCAATAAGTATTTTGCTACGGCAGGCCATGCTTTCCACCTGGCTACCCCTACCTCGGCCACCAGCTCTTCACCCTCCGCTGCAACTTGCCCATGCCCCACCGCTTCTCCTTCAACCAAATTCAGATAGCTGATGTCCTGAAAGAGCTGCTAAATCTGGACCCCTACAAATCAGCTGGGCTAGACAATCTGGACCCTTTCTTTCTAAAATTAGCCGCCGAAATTGTCACAACCCCTATTACTAGCCTGTTCAACCTCTCTTTCGTATCGTCTGAGATCCCCAGAGATTGGAAAGCTGCCGCGGTCATCCCCCTCTTCAAAGGGGGTGACACTCTAGATCCAAACTGTTACAGACCTATATCCATCCTACCCTGCATTTCGAAAGTATTTGAAAGCCAAGTTAACAGATCACCGACCATTTCAAATCCCACCGTACCTTCTCCGCTATGCAATCTGGTTTCCGAGCTTGTCATGGGTGTACCTCAGCCACGCTCAAGGTCCTAAACGATACAATAACCGCGATCGATAAAAGACAGTACTGTGCTGCCGTCTTCATCAACCTGGCCAAAGCTTTTGACTCTGTCAATCACTGCATTCTTATTGGCAGACTAAATAGCCTTGGTTTCTCAAATGACTGCCTCGCCTGGTTCACCAACTACTTCTCAGTTCAATGTGTCAAATCTGAGGGCCTGTTGTCTGGACCTCTGGCAGTCTCTATGGGGGTGCCACAGGGTTCAATTCTCGGGCCGACTCTATTCTCTGTGTATATCAATGATGTCGCTCTTGCTGCTGGTGACTCTCAGATCCACCTCTACGCAGACGACACCATTTTGTATACATCTGGCCCTTCATTGGACACCGTGTTAACAAACCTCCAAACAAGCTTCAGTGCCATACAACACTCCTTCCGTGGCCTCCAACTGCTCTTAAACGCTAGTAAAAGTAAATGCATGCTCTTCAAATCGAACGCTGCATGCACCCGCCCGCCTATAATCACTACTCTCGGCGGGTCTGACTTAGAATATGTGGACAACTACAAATACCTAGGTGTCTGGTTAGACCATAAACTCTCCTTCCAGACTGACATTAAGCATCTCCTATCCAAAGTTAAATCTAGAATCGGCTTCCTATTTCGCAACAAAGCCTCCTTCACTCATGCTGCTAAACATGCCCTCGTAAAACTGACTATCCTACCGATCCTTTACTTCAGCAATGTCAATTACAAAATAGCTTCCAACACTATACTCAGCAAATTGGATGTAGTCTATCACAGTTCCATCCGTTTTGTCACCAAAGCCCCATATACTACCCACCATTGTGACCTGTACGCTCTCGTTGGCTGGCCCTCACTACATATTCGTTGCCAAACCCACTGGCTCCAGGTCATCTAGAAATCACTTCTAGGCAAATCCCTGCCTTATCTTAGATCATTGGTCACCATAGCAACACCCACCCGTAGTATGCGTTCCAGCAAGTATATCTCACTGGTCATCCCCAAAGCCAACACCTCCTTTGGCCGCCATTCCTTCCAGTTCTCTGCTGCAAATGACTGGAACGAACTGCAAAAATCTCTGAAGCTGGAGACACTTATCTCCCTCATTAACTTTAAGCATCAGTTGTCAGAGCAGCTTACCGATCACTGCACCTATACACAGCCCATCTGTAATTAGCCCACCCAACTACCTCATCCCCATATTGTTATTTACATTGTTATTTATTTTGCTCATTTGCACCCCAGTATCTCTATTTGCGCATCATCTTCTGCACATCTATCACTCCAGTGTTAATACTAAATTGTAATTATTTTGCACTATGGCCTATTTATTGCCTTACCTCCATAAAACGTACTACATTTGCACACACTGTATATAGATTTTCTATTGTGGTATTGACTGTACGTTTCGTTTATTCCATATGTAACTCTGTGTTGTTGTTGTTTTTAATTGCACTGCTTTGCTTTATCTTGGCCAGGTCGCAGTTGTAAATGAGAACTTGTTCTCAACTGGCTTACCTGGTTAAATAAAGGTGAAAAAAAAAAAAAAACATCTAGTGCACAGACTAAGGAAACCCACTTTGCACCAACTTTCATTAACAAAACACTTTATTGCAGCACAGTTGTCATTATTACGTATATAAGGAGAAACTACTGCTATTTAAGTGGGGGAAAGAAGACAGCCATTTGGAGCAAACATTGAGAAGTAAAACAACATTGTTAAAGGAAAATGTTCACAGACTGATTACACTGTAGTGATATAAAGCTGTTGACCTTCCACACTACCCCCCATAATGGGCCAATACGAGAAAATGGATCTTATATACATTATCAGTCTCAAATATATTAAAACAATACCAAGCTGTATCAATTGCCATTTTTTCCCCAAAGGTTGTCAGAAGTCTTAATGGATTCTGTATGTGTACTTTGATGGGTTTAAGAGGTGAGTTTCAGCTTGAAGAGGACAGTCTGAGGGGTGGTGATATCTGCCACTGCTAGTTCCTGTCCATCAGACAATCCCAGTTCTGCAACAACACATTACATTTACAAGATGGCCGAAACAAACACATAGCTTTATAGTCTACCATACACATACCATGCACATATTTGAAGAAAAAAAAAACATCTTACCTTTCAAGGTTTTGCAAAGGTTTGGTCTAGTTCTTTCTTCAATTGAAGCTACAGTTTGTAAATATAGTGTCTTATTTTTCCCTTCCAGGGTTGCTGTGATGGCTGGGGACTTCATTTGTCTGGAAAACAATAATGTTTTAAAGTTAACAATGATAACTTCACATTTACACTTTTCAGTAACCATAAAAAAACATGACAGACATCAATATCAGTCAATCTGGTTACTAGCAGATGTACTCACAGGGAGGCATTCTCTGTCAGGTACTCCAAGACCTCCTGTAGCTTGGCAGAGGGTGGAAACTGTAGATCCTGGGGCACCTGGCTACAAGCTGAGCAGTTCTCCTGTCAGACCAAACAAGAGCATGAAGGCCTGACACCACACCATCCCTTTCCAGCCTTGTGTCAATAGCACTGTCAGTAACATTGGTACAGTTCTCCTTAATAAAATGGGCAAATATATATCCATTTAGGATACTCTGGGTACTACCGAGACATTACTAACCTTTCGCTCTGCCTCAAAGGTGTAGGTGTACAGTCCGTCCACATCATTAAATACCAGATAATTATTCAGTGGAATATAAGCGCTGCAAAGTCAGAGAAAAGTCATATGAATTTGATATCTAGTATGAAACAGAACTTTTCTCTACAGTGATGGGATGATTCATTCATAGTACTGACCTTGAAGCTATTTTAAAAACTTCAGTGGAGCAGGCAGCTACAAAAAAAGTGAAATAAGTTACACTAATTGAAATGTACTGAAGTAGCTACTTGTAATCAAGTCGGGATCCATCAAGATAAAACACAATGACCCCCTAACAAAAAACAACAATTGACAGTCCATAAGGGTTTCCTACCAGCTATTACAGCATTTGTTGACGCCACAGCAGGGATGATCCTCTTCACGACGCCTGAGGCAAAAACCATGTGAAAATAAATCTAACTCCACACTGTTCGCAGATTTTTGCAACCAATACTTGTAAGTGGGGGAGTTGGGGTTAATACAATTTCAACTTAGAATTGTAATAGGCCTATATATATATATTTTTTTTTTTTCCATCTTCATTGAAAAAGGAACTTACCCCAAATGTTGCTTGTACTATACAGTATGTATAGCTAAAAGCTGATATAGCATGAGAGTTTTACCATCTATGCAGGACAGGGTGTTACAGTATGGTGCTCCTCACCTTGTGTGAGTCTGTATGTGACTCCTGTGATGCTGTAGTCAGCAGCTCTCTCCTGGGCCCTCTGGAACACCCACTGGATGTGCTCAGGGTTATCCCCATCCAAACCAACACCATCTGAGGGACAGCCATGAGCATGTGTCATTATCTGCCATTATATATATTATGTTGATCTTTATGATGGTGTTATGAAGGGATTATGGCCACCTAAGGATACAGTGAGTAATACAGCATAATAACTTGCTGCCCTTTTTGATTGCAATCAAGTTGTGATATGTGACAATGAGAAGTGTTATTCATGGACATACCTCCAAAAGGCTTGTCTTTGGGCCACTGTAGCATTCTGACATACTCAACGCAATGCTCTGGCAACCGCGGCATAGACGCAATGGTGCACATGGGGAAATTAATCTATGGACCAAAATAATACAACACATTAGGCTATACAACACACATACAATTGAACACATACACCAAAGCTGTCACTGATAAATAACACAAAAATGGCTGCAGTACACAAATCACTGTCCAACTTAACAAAGAAGTAGTGGGCTACTGAAGTAGTACACTGAAAATAGCAGTTATATTTGGCAGGTCTGAGAGAGCTTGGAGCACCTGTGGTGGGTAGAGCTCCAGGGTGCAGTCGATGCATGCAGTCATGCCAGGCAGAATGACCCGAGCATTGCCTTTGAAACCCTCCGTCCCACCGTCAATGAGGGGGATGATGGAACTGGGGTCCAGAACACCATCCTCATAGCTCAGAAGGGATATCTGTAAATGATTGGGGGATCTCACGTTTTACATACACACACAATCCACATAGCCTATAGTTCATATTCAGACATACATACCAGCATGCCATTCATCCAACGCCTGGCGATGATAGAATCTAATCCACAAACAATAATGTGGAATTCTACAAATATAAGAGAGAAAAAAAAAGTGTCAGAGCCATTGTTATTAGGTACAAATGTTTTTTGAAAACACCATAATTACATTTACATTTTAGTCATTTAGCAGACGCTCTTATCCAGAGCGACTTACAGTTAGTGAATATATATTTTTTATACTGGCCCCCCGTGGGAATCGAACCCACAACCCTGGCGTTGCAAACGCCATGCTCTATCAACTGAGCTACATCCCTGCCGGCCATTCCCTCCCCTACCCTATAATGTAAACAAAGTTTGCACTTACGTCTGTAGAAAGATTCATCAAAGTCCTGGATTTTGTTGAAGTGTCTAAGCAGAATATTAATTAAGAAAAATAATAGAAAATATAGTACTTATAGTACTTCACATGCTCAAGCTTAGTAATGCAGTAATTTGTATGGGGTAAGCCTACACTCCACTATTCTGCACGTCAGTTGCAAAGGATACGGGACGACTTTGCATCCAGGGATTCGATTATTGACAAAGTCAGCAGCCACATCTGCTTTTGGATGTCCAACATCTTTGGGCCTAAACAGGGTATACAGGTTAGCACTTTGTGACATCTGCTGATGTAAAAAAGGCTTTATAAATACATTTGATTGATTGAGGTGTGTGTTGAAAAGTAAACTTAAGACACTTTCAGTATGTTGCTTCTTTCAACCGTGAACACACTAAGGTTGTTATTAATAGAGTAATGGCCATGGGAGGTGGGGAAGGCGAGCCAAACCTGAAAAGGAACTGCCTGTTGAGGTTGGAGATATCGATGGTATCCATGTCAACAACATGAATGTGACGAAAACCTGACAGGGCCTAGATCAGAACAAGGCAAAACCACATATTAAGATACTGAGTAGAAATAGAACAAGATAACAACAAAATGTGCACCTGGAAGCTGGACATTATCTCTCATACCAGATTTTTGAGCAGCTCACACCCAAGTCCTCCAGCTCCAATGACCAGGATTTTGCATGTCTCCAATAAGAACCCAAGGGACTGAAAGGAACATCAGAGTTGGTGTGGTGAATGCTTTTCTCTATCCCCTAAATAAAAAAAAATGTTATTATCTAATTCCTTACCTCAATGCTTGGCTCAAAGTCAGGATGAGTGAATGGGCCGGGTCTCTCCAGAAACTTCTTCACATGGTTCCATCGGCCATCCCAATCTCCACTGTCCCTGTGTCCCCCATCTACAGCCATTCTGCACACAGAAAACACAGAACAGAAGGTGCTCTGCTGCACATATCAACCAGCAATCACACAAACCTTTATGACAAGTGTGATGATGAGTCAAAACTAGATGGCTAGCTAGGTAGATAAATATAGGTCTGTAGCATGTAAATTAACATCAGGATGATTTCCCTAGTATAGCTAACGTTAATCAATCATTCTATATGTGAAAAGTCAGACACCAGATGCTGCTGTTACTGCTAACTAGCTAGCTAACGTTAGCTCCCTATTATATTAACGTTCGCTAACTAACGTTAGCTAGATACCATATTAGCTACGGTTAACTGGTTCTCTTTGATATTGCATTGGGCACACTTCGACTAGGCCTGTTCCTTTGCCCGGTTGTTAGAATTAGCTCGTTATCTACTCGAATTGGGCCAATTTCCATAGCTAGCTGTGTGAAATTGTTGAACGAATGAATTTCAACACTCCATGCTAACAGGCTAGTTAGCTAGCTCACTAACTAACTGTGCAACTCAAACCTGCTGCCAGTTTCAAGCATTTCGTCACTAACTTCTCAGTCAGCTCCTCTATTTTCCTTCTTTTCTTCTCCCTAAAGAGGAGAGAATAAAAGAAGGTTCAATGCTTGTTTTACAGCAGCATAATGTCGATTCTGTCAGCTAGCTACAATAAATATAATTTTTTGTACTTACGGCTCCTCAGCATCCGCCATACTTTCAAGGTTCCATGTCCTCACTGGCCGTACTGTATATTCACGAAAATCAAACCTGCGTTAGCGCATGTTCTTCTTCTTCTGTGGATTTTATATGGCGGTTGGCAACCAACTTTAAGGTGCATTACCGCCACCAACTGGACTGGAGTGTGGACCAGATTTAGACCTTCACTGTGAAAGTCTAAATCCTACCCAAAAATCTCGTCTCCCTAAGGAAACGAAATATTTAATTAAATACTACATCCCCTGAAGATTTCCCCAGCAGTTCACTTAATCTAATAACAATCGCTCCCTTTCTCTCACATATTTCTGGCACTGAAATGTTAGCATATGTGCCCAAAATGTACAAAGTATATAGGGATTTGCAATGACCGTACATGAAAGATGTTCTGCGCATTATGTGCAGCACAGCGCAATTGTGATTTCCATCAACATTACTGCGCTTGTCTTACTCTCGCGAGAAGCTGAACTGACGAGAACCAGAGCAGACCCAAAGATGTTCTATTATATTGACAAGATAGTCGAGTGACTGCTCTAACAATGGAAATAAATGTCCTCAAAGATGGAAAGCAGGCAAGATCAGGTGGGACCATTCTAGCCAACGAGAGGGCAGATACGATTGTGAACAACAGGCACAACTCCGATATAAAGTAGTTTTTTTTCCAAAGTTGCCGAAATCCCACTTATATCAGGGCATTTGTAACAACCTAACCGGTGGTGTAGTGATGCCTGGAGAAGTGAGTATACTCACATTTTTCCAAACGCCACACGAAGGAAAGGCGCCCTGTGTGATAAAAAAAAGAAACGAAACAGTGACATATTACCTGAAATTATATATCCCATATTGGTTTTTCACAGTCAGGCCAACCCAAGCTGTACCATGCAAGTGGGCTAATAGTAACCCTACCATTGAAACAGAAATGTAAGAAATTCACAGGTTTTAGATTTTTCCTCATTTTTCACATTCACACACTCAAAGTCACACTTTAACAGAAAAACAACAAAACTGTATGTTTAAAATCCAAAATAATGCTTAATCCACACAGGAGGCCACTTTTGAGGTCTGGGAAAATTCTAAGAAATTTAGATTTTTTTTTGTGTAGTTACCCTTTAATCCAAGTGTGCAGGCACCTAGCACTGTTGTTTGATTAGCAGTGTTTCTGTAGCACATGAGTTTGTTTGAAACTGGATTGATGCAAATAATCATGATGACAAGTAGGCAACGGCTACTTTGTAGCTACTGTAGTTAACATTTAATAGAGAAGGTTTTTGGGAAAGCCTTTCCATCTACCAGAAGATGGTTAGGCCTATCATTAGCATAGCTATATTTTTTTATATTCCTTAATTGTTTGAAACCTGAACGTTTTACTTCATATTATGAGGTATGTCTTACCTTACTTGAAAGTAGACTGTGGGCAAAATCACACCATATAAACGTGGAGGCAATTATTTTGATTAAAGACTTACTCATATGCTTTCTCCCGTTCTATTGATTTTCTTTTGACTTTCTATCATTGTTTAGCAGACAAAGGCATTATCGTAGTCATATTAGCAACTCATGACAGTTGTTGCATATTTCAATCCCCCCTCTTTCTAAATTTCTGTCGGATATTTCCATCTCTGTCCATTTTAGAACGGCGTTTTCCTGCAAATTGAATTCTGAAACATTCACGCGAAGGTCTACAGCCGTCTGTACATTGCTGCACATAAAATGTGAAGAAATAATATTTTAGCAAAATTATAAACTAAATATTCTGATCTGTTCCATCAGCCTTATTAATTGAAATGGCGAATACCTCCACTACAGTACTTTGGTACGTATCAGTGGGTATAAAGAAGTGAGTATAAGCAATGCCCACGGAAAAATAAGTGTGTATACCAGGGTTCTTCAATTCCGGTCCTGGAGGGCCGAAACACCTCTGTTTTTCATCCTCTCCTTCTAATCAGGGGCTAATTCAGACCTGGGACACCAGGTGAGTGCAATTAACTACCAGGTAGAAATAAAAAACAGAAGTGTTTCGGCCCTCCAGGACCGGAATTGAAGAACCCTGGTGTATACCCTCCACGACACCGCTGAACCTAACCATTACGAAATTTCTATTCGATCAAATAAGCCTCACGTTTTGGTTGACCAAATTTGACACTTATTGACCCCCATACAAAAGTTCCTCAATTCGTGGTCTTATTTTCGTGAACAGATTTGTAGCGGAGTAAACCTTCTCGCTTCGCCTCTTCCTCTCTGGGGGAGCACATCCTATAAATTACTTTGGTAGCTAGTCTCTTTGGTTTTACTGGTCAGCTGATCTGTTAAAAAATATTTGAGCAGTGAACTCGGAAATGGCAAGGATGGAGCTTGCACCGCTCAGACCATGGGATGACTTCTTCCCAGGAGCTGATCGTTTTGCCAAACCCGATTTCGGAGATTTAACTAAATGGAACAACAGGGTAATCAGCAACTTGTTATACTATCAGACCAATTACTTCGCAGTGGCCATCGTGGTTTTCCTGATCGTGGGGTAAGTCAGCATGACAGCGCGAGCTTGCTAGCATTTCCCACCCAGCTGCTAACTATTTGATTTGATTAGCCTGCAGTCCAATCCACACCAAGTCATGGATACGTAATTGTCATGCACTGGCATTTATTTATAGCAGTGAGCAAGATTTCCCTATCTTTTCATATTCTCCTCACACAACTGCAACGACGAAATAAGAGATGCAGTCATAATGTGATGGAATTGGAATGGAGTCTGGTACTAGCTGGCCTGCTAAAAACAAATGTAGCTATTTGCTCCACTTTTCCTGCATCAGCTGCCTGCGACTGTGTGAATGGTTCACACGGTGAACATAATTACTAGGTGGTTGAGTATTTGAGTACCTTATATTTAGAAATAACGATTGGACAGAGATGGGTTTCCATAATTTAAAAAAAATATTTTTTATATGAATAGTTTCTTTAGCCTACTTGGCTGACAACACATGAATGCTACAAGTTGTCCCAGCATTTGGGTCCTTATCTCAGCCACACACTGCATGTACAATGTAGAAGTGTACTGATAATACCCGATAAAATACCCAAGGAGCAGTTTTGTATGTATCCTAATTCCTAAATTGCAGCTACAGTAGTTTGAAAGCTCTCAGATTATTTATGAAAATGGCTAAAATAATTTAAGGAAAGGTGTTGATCTTATTCCAGTCACCAGGTTGTGCTGTTAATTTCTTGTATTGTGTTTTACAGATGCACAATTATTGTTTTTTATTGCCATACAGCATTTGAGTGGATATAGATGTTTTGTGTAATATGTTTCCCGTCTGTGTAGATTTCTGAACCCTCTTGGCATGTTTCTGGGAGGGGCAGTGGTTTCTCTGGTCTTCATGGTTTCGGTGTGGGCGGGAGAGAACAAGAATTTCATCAAGAACTTCAAGAAGAAGAACCCCACCCTGTTTGTCATCGCTGTCATGGGAACAAGCTACTTCCTGCTGTCACTATGTGGTGGAGTGATGGTCTTCATCTTTGGAATTACTTTTCCCTTGCTGTGTGAGTCGCGAACTGTTTTTTCAACCACTCATTCTGACTCATTGTATGGGTTCAATATGGAGAATGTGTGTGGTTCTCCACCTTAAAATGTTTTGGTTAATTGGTGGTTCTGAGAAAAGGAGTGCAGGCAACAGCTGCCACATTGTGGTGGGAATCAGGAGGCAGTCAGTCAGTGACGGAGCCCTTCCCAGGGCTGTCCTGTGGCTGCCTGCGTGTGTTGACTGGTTGCTATGTACTGTCTGCACAATACTCAACTACATTTACTGGCTTACATCATATAGTCGGCATCTCTGACGAGAAAAGTAAAGATGCCTCTCCTTAACCTTATCTGTGCATTGTATTTCATAACATATACCTAGAAAATAATTATCCTTCTCAGTTGAAGCTGCATAATTTTAGATGAAGGCACACACATCATGTTTCCATCGGCCAGAATGGGAAAATGCTACCATGGGGATCTCCATTGAGGGTAGCACATCGTGAACGGGTAGGAAATTAATCCAGCCTTTCTTCCCTGTAGTGATCCTGGTCCATGCATCTCTGAGGCTGCGCAACATGAAGAACAGGCTGGAGAATAAGATCGAGGGAGTGGGCATGAAGAAGTCCCCAATGGGCATCATCCTGGATCTGCTAGACCAACAGGAGGAGAAGATCAACAAGATCCAGGACTTCCTGGAGTCCAAGCTAAACAAGGAGTGAGGGGGGAGAGAGCCAAAATGGCACCCTCATTCAATTCAACATGGTTTGCTTTTTCCTTTAACACTAAAATCAAGCGTTGATTTTTACCCCGCATAATGTCAGTGGTGTCACATTCTCCTTATTTGTCATTCTCACTCAATTTTGTTATATTGAATGAACACCTTTATACATTTTGTGTCAAAGTACCTGATTTCTTTAGAGCATTTCAGAAAGATTTGTACAGTCCTGTATGGATCATATGTTTGGGGAAGGCACTCTGCACAATGAAATGAGGCATGAGCATACCTGTATATTTGCCCATTAATGTTCAAAGTAACACGCAATACACATGTTGTCATTATGTAATTGCAATACATATCCTGGCACATTTTACTCTGTCGAACTTGACAAAATAAAGCTGCGTGCCAGAATGCAATAACTATTGCACGTTAAAACAATTGTGTTCAGTGGCATAGCATCTAGATTTGTTATCGTTCCAAAAAAAAAGATATTAAGCAAATAATTTAATCAATCAGAATCAATTTATTTGCTACCTCAGAAGATAAATATCTCTATTTCCTCTCCTAATGCTGAACTGGTATCACTGGGCTCCTCTTGTATCCACTGAAACAGTGACTGCATATTGACAAGTCGCAATAATATCCCTCTGGTTACTTCACACCCTGTGGGTTGGGCTTGAGATTAACATGCTCAGATCATGGCTATGCAATATGGGAAAATGAATGGCAAATGCAACTTTATTAGTTGAAGTAGTCATGTTGTAAATGTTTACATTGTGCTTTCATGTCTCATTGAATCTTCTCTACTTGTGTATTCAGCAAAAAGCATACAGAAAACATAAATGTTTGCATTACAAAAAGCACAGTGTAAGGCACCAAAGTATGTACTATTAAATATCACACACATTATGAATGCTTGATTGTGCATTGGGGTTCTGATGATGTCCCCCTCAGTAGCAGATGTTTGGAGATTTTATTATAAATCCGCCCTAATAAATAGCCTATCCAATTCCAGGGATCACCATTAGTAATAGATGAAAATGATTAAATTAAATTAATGAAGATTTTATGAGCTATTTGTACACACGGATGCAGTCTTCCAAAGAATTATGGAGAATCACAGTTTGTATCGGATCTAGACAAATTGCTTTCAGAAAAAAGGAGTGCACGCTAATATTATGGTTCTAGGTTCTATTATAAGGATGTTATAACTGCTGTTTTTTGTATTTCCATTGAGTAGTGATAACGTAACTACAGAATTGGAAGCAGAGCACTGTGTTCCACCATAATAATAAAACAAAATTTAAGTAATCCAAATTATGTCAACTATGTTAATGAAGGAAACATTTACATATGAGACATCTTGTATGTACACTGATTTTTAATGTCAACACTCGTTAGGATTATGACTTGTTAAGATGGACTGTTCCGTGAAACAATGAAGTATGATTTGAAATCTAGCTTCTGGACCACTGACCCACAGTGTTTTACACAGTAAAAGACTAATGTTTTCATGGTGCCTCCTATACTCTATATTCTGGGGTTCAGCTCTATCAATATTGCGAAGTGGACAGCAGACACCAGAGTGGTTTTGAAAACCCATAGATGAAAGACCCAAGTCATCAGTAGATGATGTATTATGGATTTGCCCGCACTCATTTGGGAGTGTTCAAAGTAAATGAATTTTCCACAAACAAACATAATTATTAATTGAGACTACTTATACTATGCACATTCTATGGTGCATTTACCAGCTGTAGACTCATATCCAAATACCATACTAGTTCTTCCAAACCTCAAGGAACAAAAGGTGTTCTGCCTGAATAGGAGTACTGAGGCAAACTAGTGTTACAAGTGCAAGCAGATTATTGTTAAGGAAGAGATTAAACACATGTTGAACAAACACAGGAATAAAGGTATTGTAGATTCCTCAGCGATGTTGAACTAACACAGGAATAAAGGTATTGTAGATTCCTCAGAGATTGAAGAGACTGGTTTCTCTTGATTCTAATTCTTTGGGGAGTGGCACCTGTAGGAGCAATACATTACACAAACAGAAACAGCTGTGAGAAAGCTTTGATTGGCAGTGGAGGATACACAGAGGTATTAGGGATGGATCGAAATTTACAGAACAGTTACCTGGAGGAAAATGGGGGAGGGTCATGCTTTTAAAATTTCAGCCAAGGGGAGGGTTTGGTATTTTTTAAATCTAGTCCAGGGGAGGATTATGTAATTTGTAATTAATTACATTTCTATATTTCTCATTGCTTTAGAATTAGTTGCTTATTAGGCTATATATCGATGTGTACCCGATGCTACCCCTCATCTCTGATTCTCTGCTGGGAGCACAATATCAATTGTGCTCCCAGCAGATAGCAAGATAGCTGCTGGGATGGTGTAAATAAAACTAGGCAGCATTACACACTGCAATGGCTTTCCAACCTTGAGCCCCGGCCTGCTCTGCTCTTGCTGATAAAAACTTTTTTTGTGTGCTGTCTAACCAATGGCTGTGCTGTGTAGGTTCTACAGTGGCAGTTCAGGAGAGTCAAAGGCGTCTTCCGAAAATATATTTTGATTAGGCATAGTCCAAACAATGCACTTTCTTGCGAGCAGACTAGCCTTTAGCCTATTTCTGTTCAGTTTGAGGAGAGTGCGAAGATTATTAATTTTATAATTGATTTTATTAAAAACAATATGTTTCTTGCATGTGATGTATTTATCAGAGTTATTGACCTCACAATAAACCAGATTAGAGTAATTTACATTGTGGTGCTTTAACTTGAAGAATCAATCGGAAATGGACAGCTCATGGTGCTGAAAGTAGGCAAATTCCTTTCAACCTTCTTCATTTTAATTAGACTTTACCAACAACGAGGGTTTTGTGTTGGAGCCTATTTCTTCCTATTTAAGAAATAAGAGGTAGGCCTACCTGTTTGACAGACGGAATTAGGCTGTAGGCTGCTATATCCATAGATTTGTAGGTCCATTCCTCCACCCACCATGCACTCTTTAAATAGCCTACCTCCATGTCAGTGAAGGGCTGTTAAGTTAAAAACCAATACTTTAATTGAGGGGGTATAAGAGGGTATGCCATAGGCCTACCTTTTATCAAACAAAATGGCAAAAAGCACAGGCCTACCCCTTGTTAGCTTAAGATTTAGAAGAAAATAAAAAGGATCTGGTTATATAACAGCGCTTTGGTCCGCAATGCTTTATACTAGAAACAAGCTGTAAAATACCATGGGAAGACGTGACTCCGATGCATATGAGGATATCATTGTTTCGTTTCTTTGACATTCAGAGGCTGACTTTGGGAAGTAATCTAATTCTGTCACTATCAATTGATTAAGCTATTCACTTTCTGTACAAAATAAGATGTTTAAACCCAGACATTTATGACCTTCACTCGTTGGGTTTAGCCACACGGAAAAAGAGTAGTCAGCAGTCAAAGCTTACATTTTTCTGCGTCAGTAGGCCTACTCTGTCTTGGGTGGAAAGGTAGGCCTAACTTTTGAAAGTACCATGCTCAGATTGCTAATGATGTCTCAGATTTAATTATTTGCAAACAGGGACAGTTTTGTTGCAAACAAGACACACTGATTTGGCATTGGGGAAATACAGTATGATAAGATGAACACATAGGCCTATCTCTCTGTCCATTCTTAGCCTGTCATTTCTGTAATTTGTGTGGTATTCAAAAATATTATGCTAAAATTACTTATAATTACATGACATTTAAAGAAAGGCTATTTTTTCTCGGACTTGCAAATACGATGATAGATTAATGCAATGCTTTTAATATAAAGGTGATCTTTCCACCCCTATTCTTGGTGCGGCCACAGTGGACTGTGAACCCACAACCATCTGGCTCGCAGCCCTTTCCATGTAATGTTTACTGGAATAAGGCTAAGGCTCAGGTCTGTCCAAGAAGTAAACGGTAGACATGTTCTCTGTTATCCACTTTGTTTTCATTATTATTTTGGGTATAAGGGAGGGTCACTTGTTTTTTATTTCAAGCGTTCAGGGAGGGTTTAGGTCAAATATATTTTGCTGAAGGGAGGGCCACCCATTTTAGAGAGGTCCGATTTTCTCCATGTAACCCTTATTATAAATAACGTTCACTCCCTTTCAAACTATAAATCTAGTGTACATATTTGCTAGTTGGTGTCTAATATGGGTTAAAGCTAACAAGCTTGATTGGACTGTAAGGGCTCTCCAGTTCAAGGCAGTTCCACAATGCATCTTTAAAACATTTTTTTTGATCTAACACTAATCCACCAACTTCTGCCATCTAAATAAACAATGTGACGGCTGGTCAGATCAGGTTAGCTAACAATATGACTGTTCGTGGCCCTGTGCTAATCTGAGAATCATCAGTTGTACTCACGGCTTTGAGATAGGCCACGTTGCTCTTTTTGATCTCATTAAGCAGTTCATCGCGGGGTGTCACATCCACCTTGGCCGGCTGCCGCCTCCGAGGGACAGGCTTCAGTGTCTTCATCACATCTTTCAGAGTGGCCTTCAGTTCTACCATCTCATCAACGCCTGTGTCCCTCTCTTTTCCTGATGTCTTCTTGAGCAGGACATTCGGCCTCTCTGCTCTCCTGTCCTCCCTAGGATCTATGTCCAGGAAAGGGTCACGCTTTTTGGGGGTCCTCTTCAGCTGGATGTCCTTCAGAGGGTTACCAGAGGAGTCCGTGCTGGGGGGTTGTTGTGGAATGGGGTTGCGCTGCATGTGTTTAAGCTGCTTGTGTTGATACTGTGGAGACGTGTTCTGCTGCTTTTGTGGCTGCTGTAGAGGGCTGTTCTGCTGGAATCTGGAGGAGGGCTCTGGTTTGGGTTCCATGGGACCCTGGGGACCCTTGGGAAGCTGCGGCATGAGGGCCGCGATTTCAGGAGGGACGTAGCCCAGCATCGCCAGCAGCCCCGGGGGCAGGTTCAGAGCCCGTTCATACATCTCAAACACCTCCTTCTGCTGCTTCTGCTGCTGCTTGCTCTGCTCCTCTTTCCTCTGCTGTCTCTGGCGGTCCAGGTTTCTGGTCAGCAGGTTGGTCACCACCATCCTGGGGCCCGCCTGCTCAAAGTGGTAGCCCATCTTCAGGAGGGTGTTGTTGGCCTTGAGCAGGCGTGACACCTCCATCTCCGCGTGGTGGCCCAGCATGTGTCTCTGGTTGTGGAAGCGGAGCTCTGTGAGCGTCTCGTTGAACTGTAGGCAGCGGATAATGGCGATGATGCCTTTCCCTGTTATGAAGTTTGACTCTATGTTCAGGGTGGTGATGCTACGGTTCTCTCTCAGCATGTTGGCCAGGGTGAAGGCGATGTTTTCGTCTGCGCCGGTGTTGGCAATGCTGAAGGTCTTGACGTGTTTGTTCTTCTTTAAGGCATCAACGTATTCTATTAGCATTTCTTTAGGAATGTTTTCTATGTTGTTCAGGTTTACGTCTGTGATAGCGGGGTTGTTGTTGCGTATCTTATCCAGAGTGGTGTCCAGGTTTGTCTCATTCCCTGAGGGCCTTGATGTCTTCTTGGCCCCACCAAGGCCACCAAGCCCCCCACCAAGAGCCAGCTTTGGAATATTTAGCTTGTTAATTACCCTCACTTCTTTCTCTGGAACAAAACAGGCCCTCTTCTCCTCTGGAGTCATCTCTATTACTTCAGGAGCGGGAGCATCTGTAGTGTTACTTTTGACTTTCTCAGGTATTTGTGATGTGCTCTTTTGCTCTGTTCTCTCAATCTCTTTCTCTTCTTTCATGTCTGCGAACTCTGGTGGGGGTTGCAGGGGACTGGTAGTGTTTACAGTGTTAGTGCTGTTATCATCTGATGACTCTTTTAGACGCTCATTCACTGGATGTTCATGTTTTTCTATGACCCTTTCATATTTTACGGCTATGTCCTTTTTCTCCTCCTCCTCTTCCTCCTTCTTCACATCCTCTTCCTCCTCCTCCACAATCATTTCCTCTATAATCTCCTCTATCACTTCCTCTCCTTCAACACAGTCTGTAGCTTCCACCTCAATGATTTCTTCTATCACCTCATACACAATCTCCACGTCTTCAGCGTTTTCTTTCTGTTCAGCGTCCTCTTCCATAGTTTTCTGATGAAGACAAGTAGTACAATCATTTAATAAACGTAGCCTTGTAGAACGTACAGTTAAAGTGGTATACTGTATGATGTATGATATATTGAAGACTATAGCGACAATATATTGACCATTGACTATATAGTCTCTTACCTTACTGGGCAGTAGAGTGACGGGGACCCTCTCCTCCTCCAGCATGCGTTTGGACTCCTTCTCCCAGTATAGATAATCCACCAGGCCCCTGTGGTCAAACGAACCTGTGGGCACCTTCTCTGTCTGGCTCTTCTGCCTCTGACCCACAGGTACCCTCTCATCTGGGGCTATAACATCCATCTCTTTCTGGAGCTCTTTGAGCTCCTCAGGAGACAAGTTTGCCAGGATATCATCTTCATCAATGTCTTCTTCATCATCAGAGTCGGCGGATGGCTTCTCTTTCTTCTGGTCCTTCTGTCTCTGACCAAGCGGTACTCTCTCGTCTGGCGCTAAAACATCCATCTCTTTCTGGAGTTCTTGAAGCTCCTCAGGAGACAAGCTGGCTAGGATATCATCTTCATCAATGTCTTCCTCATGTATGTCCTCCATGTCCCGCTCCCTTTGGCTGAACATGTCTGTATAGTAGTCGTCTTGACAAAATTTTGTCAAGAGTTTATTTTCAACCTAAAGGGTACAAAGTATATCCACAATGACTACACAGTTCTAGAGCTGAGTTGCCAGTGCTATTGGCTATGTCTCCAGCTGGTAAATGGTCTGCTCACGCCCCCGGCAAAGTCTAAAATTAAACACATAGGACCTCATGGAAGATATTTATGGTGCAGGAGGGCCAGGAGAGACATACTAACATGATCTTTTTTCAGTAGCTTGAGTCAGATGGACAGGCTGTATGATCTTTCAGCATGGCAGTTGATTGGGAGACAGGAAAAGGGGGCGATAGACAGTAACAGGTGGACAGTTTTTTTACAGGCCTCGGAAGGATTCCACGGTCCACTACGCACAGGGCTCCGCCCAATCCCCCAGAGCTTCCAGGAAAATGTAATCTTATCTCCCTGAAGTGCACGTCAACTGACAGCTGATGTAAAACCAGAAGAGATCATCTGTTGTGTAGGGGGTCACTACACTCAATACACTCACTGGGAATGTCAAATCTTTGTTTTTTGTTTTATTGTCACATACATCAGATAGGTGCAGTGCAATGTGTTGTTTTACAGCTTAAGGGCACATCGAAAAATGTTTTACCTTGTCAGCTCGGGTATTTGAACCAGCAACCTATCAGTTACTGGCTCAACGCGCTAACCGCTAGGCTACCTGCCGCCCACCAATGGAGAAATCTAGTCTTCTTTACCACATCCAGGGATAAGGAAGTCACACCACATGCTGTATGTGTCTCACACATTTTTTTTTTTATTGATGTCCCAAATCCAAATGGGAGATATTTCACTCAGAGTAGGAGATGACAAAGCCTAACAATACATGGACAATGTACAAATATGTAGAGAAATACAATAAAGAAAAACAATAAAGGAACATTATTTTAGGGTTATCTAATTCAAAGGCATATATTTTTACAATATACAAAAAAGCTGCTTATCAAAAGTTTATGTTCACATGCAAGCAATTTACACCACATTAACACATTCACAAAAATGAAAATATGAATAATCTTTAAACAATATCAACATTCAGATTCATACTTGGGAGAGGAGAGAGCGCATCAGTCCATTTACTGACAAACCTGGGACGAACAGACTGCAGTAAGGAAGGGTTGGTTTATTCTTTTGTTATCACACTTTGTGAATAGTAACTCCAAAATGTATACCTAAATGTTTTACAAAGATATTCAAGTTGATTTACAACTTTTATAATGAGTAGCTCACTAAATAGGGCTCTGTGTGTACTGTATGGCACAACACTTTGGAGATATCCTGCTTTAACTCCTTATTCCTACACTCTCAATACACAGTTTACTGATTATCATAAAGACAATGAGAACTTTTTTAAAGACTTATTTTTGTCATAATACAATAGGGTAATATATTTGGGTCAAAGGTATCCCAGGGTTTGATATGCTGTTTGTAGATCCTTCACAATATTCACAATGATGAAGCTGGTTTTCCAGATCAGCAAAACCTTGCATTTGTGCCATCACCACATCCATGTCTTCCTGAATAATATCAATCTCCATCTAATCCAAGGCACATGGGAGAGTAATTCAAGAGTGTCATAATACAGTATGTCCAGAGGTTAGTTGGTATCCTTCCAGAGAACTGTGCTTCCAGTGTTGGGGTCATTGTGCCAGTGTTCCTGTTGGTCCTCTTATCTTTAGTGCATGTCCATGTAATTTCCATCCATGTATACTCTTCTGTAATAAAGAGATGAAAACAAACAAACAAGGTCAATATAAAAGTCTCCCATACTGTAGCACAACATAGTACTTCATCAAACCCCCTGCATGCTGCAACAGCTGGTGATTATTATCTAGAGCCATGAAAATGGAACACAACAAACCATGGATACACACTATGAAAATAATATGTCATTAGAAAGAAGACTATTCAACAAAAGAAAACCTGCTACTAACTTGTCAAGCATGTCATGCAATAAAATAAGGAATGTAACATTTTAAATTAGACTTTTCCATTTAATATGGATCACAACTTACAGTAATGAGAGGTAAGCAAAAGTAGGTCAACTCTACTACTGGTTCTATGAGTTATGAGGAGGATGTGGTGTTTTAACTGTGGATATGAAGCTAGACAATGTGAAAGTGTGGTTTCTAGCTACAGGATGTAATGAACACAACATTTACTTCACATGCGTCCATGCTGAATTTGTGAGCCTGCTCAAAGAGCAAGATAATTTGGCAAAACCTTTGGTCGACCGGGTAAGGCATTGCCATTCATGAGCTATAAGTATCTGAAATGGAGTGGAATGTGGCCAACTGGGCCTTGGCAGTATGTGTTACCACTGCTCTGGCTGTACATTTAATGAATGGTCTACATATTGATTTCACCCTGATTGACCTGTGGTGGACGCCACTAAATGAGCTACAGTATATTGATCAATATGACAAATGATGAGACGCAGATGGAAACTGACAACAGTGGCACTGATGGAAATGGTTTACCACTACGACAGCCTATTTGCATCTCATCTCACCCTTCTGTGTTTGAATAGTTGCCTAATGGTCTTCCTCAGTGCTATTGGCCACAGCACCAAACACCTCTACTGACTCTACTGGCATCGTATCAGACCTCTTCAACACATTGCATTCTGGGAGAAATCTATGTACATGACGATTGAGGATAGACAGTTAGTGAAAGAAAGTGAAAAGATCACTAGTTCATATACACTCATTAGAGATTACTTCGTTATTGGGGTTTAGTTTCACACCAACAGACCAAACAAACTGAACATGCTGCCATATGATGTCACTTACTAGCAAAGACAGTTCATAGATAAGGATAGCATTTTAATCTCTGTAAATGTCTATCTGGCAGCCAAAATGACCTGTCCAATCATGAGACGAGCAGGAGGAACAGGAGGAGGAAGGTGGAGAAGAGGAGAGGATGCAGCAGGAGTAAGAGCAAGTGGAAGGATAGTGGCAAGTGGTGACAATGCTAGGGAGGTCCTGAGGCTCAATATCGTGACAGGCACACACAGAGAGTGAACAGAGGTGACATCCACAAGAGGACCTGCCATTGAGTATGGGGAGGAGAAAACATTAGCAGACATAGACAACCAATTATAAGATTTAGCATATACTTAGTGGTACTGTTGTCAATTCTATATTTAAGCAATAAGGCCCGAGGGGGTGTGGTATACGGCCAATATACCATGGCTAAGGGCTGTTCTTATGCGTGACGCAAGAGTGCCTGGATACAGCCCATAGCCATGATACTGTATATTGGCCATATACCACAAACCCTCGAGGTGCCTTATTGCTATTATAAACTGGTTACCAACAAAATTAGAGCAGTAAGAATACATGTTTTGTCATACCTGTGATATACCACGGCTGTCAACCAATCAGCATTCAGGGCTCGAACCACACAATTTATAATAGCCTGTATGGTATGGAAAACGACATGTAGGTGTGGTGCTGTGGTAGGTTACTGGTTATCACCTGGTATGGGTGGGGCTGCGGTTGTAAATGTCATGGGCTCCTGGGTGAGGGTGCTGTGGTGACTCTGCCATGTTATCATAGTCTGTTACACCCACAGCCAGCTGGCTGCGCCAGTTTCCTGTGCTGGTTGATGAGGAAACTAGAAAGAGAGACAAAGTGAACACTTTTTAGTTGGACTAAAGAAACAGACACATATTGGGGAGTCTCAGAGAATGACACCCTAACCCTAGTTTCATGTCCACATCCCGGTCCAACCCTAACCCTCAACCACAACCACAACCCTAATCCTAACCCTAACAAACAATACAGAATTATTGTCATACAGTATGTTAGGAATGTATGCATTATATTGATCCGAAAAATACGTGTCCCTCTGTGTTACTGAGGGTGAACAGACAGAGTATGGTATTCTGAGGTGACCTGCTGCAGTATGAGGAGAAGCAGGATCTATCCCTACCTGAGGAGTAGGAGGTGGTTCGGCTGGAGTGGCTGAAGGGGGCTGGCATGGTCTGGTATCCCAGGCTGAGCTGAGAGCCGTTGTCGTAGTCATACCCAGCCAGACCCCTGCCTGCCTCTCTGTGGCCCCCGCTGCGGTGGTACCAGCCTCTCAGGTGCTCAGCCACCAGGGCCTTCTGCATGTTCTTCTGCAAGGGCTCGTTGCGGGGCCCCTGTCTGGTCCGGGGCAATCTCATGGTGGCGTATGGGTTCTGAGCAAGGCTGTCTGCTTGATCACTACTATAGGTCCTGTACCGCTCGTGTCTGTGGTAATTTTGTACTTGGTAAGAGGGGTTGACATTGTAGTGGCCCTCAATCTCGTTCTCATACACGTAAGCACCATTGGAGTAGGGCTCCATGTCTGGACAGGGGTAGCCTGCCACGTAGTAAGCAGTTGGTGCATAGTGCGCTGGGGGCTCGTACAAATAACTACAGCCGATATGATTCTGGACCAGATTAGGCATACTGCCTGTGTTTCCATAGACCTCCACCCTCCTGTGGAGCTGATGGTTGCGGGTTCGAGAGTCCAGGGTGCAGTAGTGGGGGTTGCCTGGGTAGTCCAGGCTGGACTGGCTGGTGAAGGAGGAGCAGTCCTCCATGGCCTCTGTGCTGTTGCTCCTGTAGGCAGGGGACAGGGTGAAGACTGGCTTCTCTGAGTTGGTATCCTTTAGTATCCGTTGCTGGGACTCCAGACTGCCACTGCGGTGCCTGAAGGACTGAGAGTTCCCATCCGACCTGCAAAAGTCACACAGCCAAAAAACATTTATAAAACAAACAAACATTTAATGTGTTATTGTCACATAAATGTGTTGTTAGACGGTTATCAAGCAAATAGTGTGACCTGCAAAAGTCTCACACAAAAAAAATAACAATGTAATTATAGGGTTATCAAGCAAATAGTGTTAAGAAATCTGGATGTACAGCATACTAAATACTTATGATTACAATCATTTTCTGTTAAACGTTGGGATGCAGGTACGGTTTTAGATTACAGGTTAAATGTTCAGGTTCGGGGTGACTGGGTAAGGGTTTGGGTAGGCATGGTCTGAGAGGGGGGGGTCTCACCTGAGATGGCTGCTGCTGTAGGCATTGCGGGTCATAACGGGGGTGGAGGGCATGCTGCGTGGGTCCCGTGGAGATCTGGGTAAGGTTTTGTAGGGGCTGCTGTGTGCAGATGACACCTCTCTGGGGTGGAAATGGTGTGAAGCATCCTGGCCGTCAAATGCTAACCTGCTGAGACTCTTGTTGTGGTGGTGATCCAGGGAGCGTGCAGGGCTGACCTGAGGGGAGCACTGGACCGACCGTGACCGGGGCCTCTGAGCACCATCAGAGTCATCTGGACAAAGAGACACAACTCATGGTCAGATGGGACTGGTAAAGGCACTGTTGCAACAAAGGTCATGTAGCTAATGTATGACTGAACTGTGTTCCACTCACCGTCATCCAGAATCTGACTGTCTGACAGCGAGCTCGTCTCTGAACGGAGAAGCTCATCTAGGGAAGATGGACGAAAGCATATCATAGATGAAAGATTATAGTACAAATCAATAAACTCATACAGCGGAATGTGTGTGTCTACTTTTATCTACAGTACCTGCAATAATCACAGAGGCTCTTTGGGTAGACTTCTCGCCCTTCTTGATTCTGTACTGGTTCATGTCATCCTCAACCTGCTGCAGTTTCCTCATGGCGTCCTGACAGTTCCTCCTCCTCTTCCTCTTCACCGTCTTACAGAGCTCTGCCTCCGAGGCTAGTTTCTTAGCTGCTTCCACGATCTTCTGCTGAAGAGCAAACCTGCTCTCCAGGTTCCTCAGATAAGGGTCCTACAGATCAGAGTATACATACATTATTATAGACAATATTACAGCAGAGAAGGGCAGATCCATTTCAATTTCAACTGAGCAATTGACATGCATATCCAACTTGAAAATTACAAACAATGTAGCCATAACAACAAGGTAATATTTTGCAGTAGTTTGTGTATGTATTGGGAAATACAGAAGACAACTCATCAACACGTGATCCATACGAAACAGGACAGGACATGAATGCAATCTTCATCACATTCCATTAATCACACAAAAACAATCTTTCAGTGTACGGTACAGATGGTACTCTGCTTAGAATAATATCCTAACACCCCAGTTCACAACCCTCCCTGAGGAAATCATGGAATTCATGTCATGTCATATTCTACAAAATATTAGTCTCTCATGACAGACATATATAATTATTTTCCTGCAGTCGAATGACCAAATCGCCCTCTAGTGGCCTCATGGGTGAATGTTATGAATATTTTTAATAATTTCATAATAAATGTGTTTTCTTTACGCAGATAATTCTGTTTTTCTTTGTCAAACGGTTTTGTTATATATCAGTCTTCTGTGATGTATATAAAGTGTAATATTGGGATGCAAACTCAAAATTGAATACATTTCAACTCTATATCTGACATGGTACAGGTGTCTTATTTTTTTCCAAATCAAATCAAAATCTAATTTAAGCTCATAACCATGTATGTGAGGTGTATACTTTTGTTTCAAAGTAGATGTGTTTAAGACTACCAAGAAACACTCTGTGTGACCCTGATTTAGCCCACTGCAGTAAACGTGAGATTTGGTTCTGGGTGCCGAGATTAGCAAAATATATGTCATATACTGAACGTTTCAACACAGACCTCATTGTATGGGAAGAGGTCATCCAGTTTGAAGGCCGTGCCAACTCGTCGTCTGACCTGAGGAGGTCTCTCGCCTGCAGACAGGGGATACTCTTTGGGCAGTTTGCCCGTGAGCTCCTGAAAACACAAAACAAAGCATACAGGTCATTTAGCTTCACAGCAAACAACTGGAGAAAACAGACACTCTCTTCACTGAAGGTCCTGGAGGGAACATACAGGCTCTTACAGTTACAAAGCGTTTTACTCCAATAGTCTCAACTGACCAAACTATGGCAATTTATATAGTAGCTTCACTGGTGTTCTACTGAATGACCCTGACTGCAATGAAAAAGGAATTCCTTAACTGTATCAGCCTAGACCCTCCAGGTGCTCGTAATGAGCAAATCAATGTAAGCAATTGTCTACAAGCAGAGAGAAACAATTAGATTTTAGAGTAGCTCACTGCCTCTCTCAAGCAGATTTTCTTTAGTTCCTTTGTTTTCTGGGTCAAGACATCTTGGATCTCTTGTTCCTTCTTCTTTAGCTCAGAGATCTTCTCCTTTTTCTGTTCTTCGTCCACCGCTGAATCTGCAGACCCTGTAGTGGTGACATTGTTTACACTGTAAATGTACCATAGGTCTATTTGCTTGTTTTGGTTGCACATTATCTAACACAAAGTGCATACAAATACGGGTATATTTTTCCTAGCCCTTTCCATTTACAGGTTTTTCAAAAGAGAAACATTTAGCTAAAGAGAGATTTGAGCTACCAGAATGCTGGCCCACCTGTTGACACCAGGCTGCCAGTGCTAGCCATAATGAGGTTATGCTTAAGGTTATCTCCCAGCCTGGTTATCTTGGTTCCTCCTCCATGATCTGTTAAATCCACGGCAATATCACCCAAACTTTTCGCGGCACTTATTTTACCCTGGGATGGAGAGATTGAGGTGATTGAGGATTAGGGATTGTTATAGTCAATACATACTACAGCTCTACACTGTCTACATGTAAATACAAGCATTTAATCCTACATGAAGAAATTGATCAATTTGGTTGGTATAGGGATGCATAAAGGTACAGAACACAGATACACTGATTGGGTCAGGCCTAAAAATAGATCATATAACATGGTACCTTGCACCTTACCTTGCTTTGCTTTCTGTCCAAGTAAAACTGATGCTGACTGATGGCCATGACCCAGATGGTTTTGATCAATGAGTGGCTGGCGTACCATGTGTGGATGACTAAGCCAGTCTGGCCAAATGTACGCTTCGTCACTGCCCGCCTGTTTAGAGATAATACATACACAATGATTAGTCTCAGGAAGATGAGCTTCTTTGGTTGTCTAAAGGAAATTCTAATCCATGTAGTTGTGATAAATATCTATAGTTTGACTTGCCCTCACCTGTGAGGGTCATTCACCTCAACAGCAAATTTCTTCTCCCGAAAATACAAGTTCTCCAGTTGCTTCCACTGGTACAGCTATGGAGGTAAACACAGAGAGACAGAGAAACAACTGATTAAGGAGTGGTGAAACCTTTCACTTAAACTATGACTCTCAAAGCCGGCATATGACACCTTCATATGTACCCATCTGTAATGGTGAATCACAACAGATTTCTAAACACTTCTACATTTATGTGGATGCTACCATGATTACGAATAATCCTGAATGAATCGTGAATAATGATGAGTGAGAAAGTTACAGAGGGTCAAAGATCATACCCCAAAGACATGCTAACCTCTTACCATTACCAATAACAGGGGAGGTTAGCATGTCTTGGAGGTATGATCTTTGACCCTCTGTAACTTTCTCACTCATCATTATTCACGATTGATTCAGGATTATCCGTAATCATGGTAGCATCCACATTAATGTAGAAGAATTTAGAAACATATTCTATTCTTATTTACAATAAAAGTGACTCCAAAATGACATAATACATTATTTACCAGTCATTTCTATTGGGCACAAAATAATCTGAAAAACAACCAAAACTAACTGCAAATGTATCCAACAAGTTTGTAGAGTCACAAGCTCGAGTCATTGCGTGCTAGGAATATGGGACCAAATACTAAACTTTTGCCTACTTTATTTATAAGAATCTTTAGGAGTGTCAATAATTTTGACCCCTACCTTTTAGAGATTTTTTTAAAATTACTTGTTAAACAAAATCGCTTTCTCTGAGCAATTGTATTAGTATAAAATAAAATAATTTCCCAATTTTTTGGAGCATACAATATAGCTCAGTATTTTAATTATTTAATCATTATTGCTCATCTTTATCAAGGGTGTCAATAATTTCAGACCCCACTGTAGCTGTTTTTCGTTGAACAAATTAGATTGTCAGCATCCAATATGGAAAACTCTACCGTCATCTCAGACTCTTACCAGTAGAGGTTCAGTAAGTGAACAATCCTTGCTGTCTGTAATCCTCTCTGTCCAGCTCAAACAACTCCTTCTCTCTGCTTCCAACAAGTCTCCTCAGGTATTCTCAGCACTCTGAAGGGTAACGCCCAGACCCTGCCTCTATGTCCTTGACATCACAGAAACACCCTCCTCCCTCCTCCCAACACTAAACGTCTGCCCAACCAGCTCTTCTTCTCTCTTCATGTTCAGACTCATACGCACATAGACCATAAACTTAACAACGTGATACTGTAGAGACGGATCACAAAGCTGGGTGTTCCTCCTCTTCTTAACAGAATAACACCAAGCTAGAAAACATCCACTGAACCAGAAGAGCTGGTTACACACTTTACATGCAGGATTCTCAGAATGATAAATAAGTCTACATATATTAACTGGTCTGGTAAAAGTAGTGCAGGCATACCTCTGTCCTGACATTGATTTGGTTATGAGTGATAGGTTGTCAGACAGAAATGTAATAAATAAAGGTCTCCAATGTAATGTTTACCTAAAGGGATCGATCAAACAGTCTGGTAATGAACTGACTGTCACTTGGATTTTCAAGTCTGGCCTTGTCTGCTCCAGCTGTAATGAGGGCCCAACCCTGATCAGTGGAATAGGTGATGAATGTGTGCGAGAGGTCTAGTGCTACGGAGGAATCTTTATCCCTGCCCTGTCATTTCATCATTCCCCAAATAGACTGCTGAAGCTCCTAGCGCTGTCAGATATAATTTGACAGTAGCAGACAGACATCTGCAGAATGAATCTCCTATATGCCTGTATAAAGGCTATACTGCACAATGACTGCTGTACACTGCCAATAAAATAAAACGTATCCTGTACTCCTCCATATTGTAAGTAGAGGAGAACACAAATGGGAACAAACAAATTACTGTACCTTCCGGGGTTTCAATTTGTCCTGCAAATCATATTGGCCAATTCCTTTGTAGCTGATCCCAAGCCACCATGGGATGCCTTGCTTGTCCTGTGAGGCAAAAGCATAGTTCCATGACTGAACTGCATACATCCATTCCCTTAGAGAAATCTGATTTTATAAGTGCAATAGCTATTGTTGTGTGCATAATGCAATATACTGTATTCTTACCTTTACTTCATAATAATGGACACCATACGTGGGTAGGGATTCCACTAGGGTCAAATACCTGAATTGAAATAATGTTCTATTACAGTAACATCCCAAATTCCCTCTTTAATTTTCAAAAGGTGGTTTACCATAAATATTATAGATGGTACTGTACACAGGACAATGAGAGCCTGATATGTTAAAGATGCCTACAGTGAATCACAATGATTCACTGGCCAGACAGTAACTGGAGTGGGTTATTGATTTCTATCAGACCTTGGTTGCGAGAAAGGAGATAGAGTGATAGAGAGAGAGGATGAGAGAGTGAGAGAATAAGGGAGAGAGAGAGGAAAGAGAGTGTGAAAGAGAGGGAGGGAGAGAGAGAGCGTGTGCAAGAAAGAGAGACAGAGAGACAGAGAGACAGAGAGACAGAGAGAGCGAGAGCGAGACAGAAAGAGAGAGAGAGATGGAAAGAGAGAGGGGTGAGGGATGAGAGCAAGATGTATGAAGCCAGGGCCTGATGTATTTTATCTGATGACTTGTGGTAAACAGGTGTGTATGAGAGGGAATGAGGGATCATTGTTTTTCCAATACTCACTTCACTATGGCCTGTCCTCGGGAGACTCCTTTCAGCTGTTTGTAATGCTCTATCACTCGATCCTCACTGTAAAATGCATTATGATGACACCTTCAACTCCTAAGTTATGGGTTGCATCACTCCTCCCTCTCAGGAATGCATCAAACATCATACATCATTGTCTGATATAACATTGCTGTTGAACCACCTTTTATTTAGCAGTCTTTCTAAACTAAACAGTTACCAAGGTGAGTTTACCAGTATGTAAGTGATGGGTGCTCCTTTAGCACCTTGTTGGGAAGAGTTGGAAGCTTCTTCAGTTCCGTTCTGGTGGTGTCATCACTGAGAATAATGATTAAACAGAATGGTTATGAAGATATGGATGGTGAAATTCATTAACTAATACTGTACATAACAGTTAGCAAATTACCATACAGAAAACTATGTAGAGAAACCATTATCGTGCATTGAGGTCTTCTAAAGTCTAAACAACCTGGAATGAGCTTCTAATGGATATCGCCACTATTGAGTCAGACTGTCTGACCCACAGGTGCAGAAACCTAATTGGCAGACACGCTCCAGGTGCATGGCCACATGGGAAGTTCCTGATAATGACCTAACTTAAGGTCCATTCTCTGGCCATCTAACTCCTGTAATTGCTGTTAATTTGGAACGAGACAGGTGGAAATGCAGACAAAGATCTACAGTGTTCCATAATTCCCTTTCCATGGTTCCACCTGGATGCTCCCTGACAGAAAAGAGGGTGCTGCTGTTGCAATAGAAGTTGTATAAAAGGAGGTAGAACTATGCTGTTAGAATCCAGCCCTGCAGACTGCAGTAGCCTTGGCCGAGCTGCCAGTGGTATGAGACTCTTTAGCAGGCCTGTGTGAGGTTTTAACACACCGTGGCAGCCTCACAAGACACAACATCACTGCCTTCCCTCTTACAACAGACTTCTCTGTCATTGATTTGACTTTAAGTCTGGAGAAACAGTTCCATTATTGAATGTCTTTGCTAAATGTGTGATGTTGTCTTGTTACTTAGATACCTGTTGTGTTAGATACTCATTAGAGTTTACAAAACCTTAAGAACACCTTCCTGATATTGAGTTGCCCTCAGAACAGCCTCAATTCATCGGGCATGGACTCTACAAGGTGTCAAGAGCGTTCCACAAGGATGTTGACTCCAATGCTTCCCACAGTTCTGTCAAGTTGGCTGGATGTCCTTTGGGTGATGGACCATTCTTGATACACACAGGAAACTGTTGAGCGTGAAAAACCCAGCAGCGTTGCAGTTCTTGACACTAACCGGTGCGCCTGGCACCTACTACCACACCCTGTTCAAAGGCACTTAAATATTTGTCTTGCCCATTCACGCTCTGAATGGCACACATACACAATTCATGTCTCAATTGTCTCAAGGCTTAAAAATCCTTCCTCCCCTTCATCTGTAGTGGATTTAACATGTGACATCAATAAGGGATCATAGCTTTCACCTCGATTCACCTGGTCAATCTATGTCATGGAAGGAGCAGGTGTCCTTAATGTTTTGTAGACTCAGTGTCCTTACCTTGAGAAATCCCCCTTTGCTTCCTGAAAAAAAGAAAAAAAAAGAAAAGAAAAAAAAAAAACAGCATGTTAGAAGATGTATGCTTTAGATTAGGAAATTACTATAAAGTACAAGGCCCCAAGAAAATAAGGAACTAACCTGCAAGGCATTTGCTGCTAATTTGAAGACATTCTCACTTTCCACCTCTATATCCCCCTGTAAGAATTAAAGCTTAATCATACATGCGTAAATGTACATATGGGCTGTTGAGACGCTTTGCAGATGTCTGTATCTGTGCTCTGTCCCTATGACTAACTCGTATTCATCGAAATAGAATTCTCTTGGACTGAACCGATCAGCAATCTATCCTTACTGACTGTCATCTCATTCCAAAGCAGTGTTTCACAGCTACAGTCTGACTGTTTGAGGTTGTTTATAAAGAGGGAGAATGAGATGGTGAAGCAGAGCAACCTGACCCCTGAGAAACCAAAGGTTATCAACACACAGCAGAATAAGATAACAAGTAGCTTACATTGTAGACGGCAGCTTTTGCATTCAGGAAGAATAATTCCACCGTTGTGTTGTCTTTCAGCAGAGTTATACTCTCGATGTAAAACCTTCGGGGATACACACAAATAGAGGTTTGAAAAACGATTTGTTGAATTGAATGATAAAATACATATTGCATGCATAATCAGTAAGACATTCCTTAATCTTAGCACCCACTACTAGACATTCCCTAATGTAATAAAAACCCCATTCATTATCATCTCAAACCAATCCAGGAGTGCTTCCTACTGGAAGGTATGTGCTAAAGATTGAGATGATGCAATAGCTACCTGACCAGGAAGTTGAGGGCGATAGGCCCAGTAGCCTTCTTAGAGAAGTCATGTTCCAGAACTCTTCGGTCCAACTGCAAGTATTTACACTGGCCACTGCAAGAGTCAACGAAGAAAAGTGTTAGAGAAACAAACAGCACTGTGAAGACACGCATACAAGCATACATACAGTATATGCACGCACGCACGCTGTATAGTCTAACACACATATACTTACATACTTACACAAAATAAGCTATGTGACTTACCTGTCATCAACAAATGTTAGTCCGAAGTATTCCTTCTCTTTGAGGTTAAAATGTGAGGACACCAGATCTAGGAGTTCACGGGACAACAGCTTGGGCTGTGGAATAGGAGATTGTTTGAAGAGCGCATTAGGCCTATCTATTTGAGGGCATTATCATTTTTTGTCAAAACAATTTGAAATTCATAGGAACTAAATTAACTGTTACAATAATCTCAGCAAAAAAAATGAAGATAGTATACTGTACCTGAACCAGCAGCTCAAGTTTCCTGTCGTCAAGGAGATGCACCTGGCAGAGTCTCCCCTCCGTCATCTACAATGGAGGACAGGAAGTTAGGTTCAAATTAAATTCAGTACTTTGCACCTACATATATGTAGTAAATTGTGAGTATTGGAATTGATCATACTGTCAAACAACATCAACCCTGTTTAGATCATATATGACATTAGTAGGACATTTCAGCTGTGTAGAAATCTTGTCTCTGTCAATGCAAATTGACAAAGATCAAACATCAGCCTTCAAAGAGGGGTTTTGTTTTAGAAATGGTCAGAAAGCAAGTCAAAGTCCCACGGTGTGTTAACAAAGTCCCATATTGAGCAATTCACAGTCCAGAGAGTTTAATCCTGTTAAGGAAATAATCATTGATTTTGTTAATTACAATGATGCTAAGATATAGGTTTCTCATACTGTACTGCTAAAGTATAGGTTTCTGCTACATGCATACAACCTACAATGGCTTACAAATCCATCACAATATCACATAATAGGTAACACTACAGCAGACAAAGACACACGCCTCAACCAGCCCCTCTAACTGCCCTCTATTGTAAGTGACAGAATGGGGTTGGCCAGATGAAGTCCTCCTACTGATCTATAGAGTGCTGCTGTACCTGGTGGAGCTCCCCAGGGACTACTGTCTCTGTGGTAATAAAACTACTACCACACAGGTCTGAACACATCCCTGTCCAGAGCTCATCTTCATCAGCATGAAGCCCTTCTTCCTCAATATCCACACACTGACATCCAGCACAAAGCGAGCGCTTCTGACCACCAGCTTGTCAATACTGCACGGTGTGCACGCTAGATAACCCCCACCCGGGCCTTGGCTGTCCCTGCCCTGCGACGCCTGGTACCAAACCCAAGTCTGGCTGGGTTTGTTTGCGTAACAACATCAGTGCTAAGTGATGCTAACCCATTGAGCTAGGGCATGTCTGGGTCAGATGCTAGACTACAGACTGTTCTTTCAGAACGCTGCTTCTGCTAAGCCTGAGGGAACATGGGTCAGCCTGGAGACCTGGTGCAGATGACTTATATTGTGGCCAAATCATTTACGCTCTAGGGACAACACAGGGCATGAGGAAACCCAGGTGTTGTATAGTGTTGGATACCAGACAGTAACTGCAATACTACCTCTTTAAGCATTCTCCCTTAGGGGCTGTCTCAGACAAGTCCGTTTGGCTCCATCTAGACGGCCTGGACAGACAGAGATCAATGTCTGCTTCACCTGCCATTTTTAGGCTCATTTAGGCCCAGATGCACGCATGCGCGAATGCATACACACGCACACATACACACACACACACACACACACACACACACACACACACACACACACACACACACACACACACACACACACACACACAATGGCTAAATTGATTGGTTATCTCACTGAGAGGGAAGTGGAACACTCAATCTCACAAATCAGTTGATTATATCAATTAGCACTCATTAAATTAAGGGCCCTGAATTAAAGGCCCTGCAAAACTGACAATGGGATATATTAAATGTTTTATGATTGAATGTGAAATATGCACATTCAATGTATCCAATTCATTTTGAATGACTGCATGTCACTCACAGTAAACAAAGACCTACAGTATTTGGCACAGTGCATTGACATTGCTCTGGCAGTATTATAGCAGCAAGATGTCTAGTGTCTTTGTGATGACAATACTATCATAGTTTATTCTGTTCAAAACCTGCTGCCTAGAATAACCACAGTTGCATTTACATGTTGACCACTAGGGGGAGCATGGTGATTTGTCAGTATAGTACAGAATTCTATGTGGGGCAGAAAATGTCAAGAAATGTTTCTTACTTTAGGCCCTCATGTGCATGCACATGTGAGGATTTGTTTCCAATGTGTACTTACAGTATCAGCCAATTTAATTGAATGAACCATCTGATTGGTGTGCCCCCTTTTAACAGCTGGGCACAGTGGGCAGAATTAAAGCCTATCTATTTTTATCCCTCTGGACACAGCTTTCATCTGGACAAAGCTATCCGGAGCTTTTCCAGAAGCACAAACTCAGTAGGGCTGAAGCTCAATTCTATGTCACTTTTGATGTATTTTCTTTAATTCTTAAAAGTCTAAGCCGTTGGGGGTGGGGGTTCTAAGCTGACATATGGAATTATTTTCAAGAAGGTCATACCATGGATCATTTAGCTAGCTCCATACTTCCATTCAATGGGTTACCTTTAGAGGAGTCCCACTTGTGGGGGTCGTAGAGCAAAACGTAGAACATCAAATGCGTGTTCGTGAGAGTCTCCCCTTTCTACAGTGGAGTTATATTAGTTTGTAGCCCAAACGGTTCGGACGCTACAGACAAAAGTTGGCACATCAGCGTTACCGACTTCCGACGAGTCCCGTAGGGATATCTCTATCTTAAACAGACAGATTTGTATTATGTTACTTAGATTGACACACCGGTAGACTCTAGGGGGTTTTAAAGACCGTGTTTACTGTCAACCTCACACCAAGCTTCATTGAGAGAGAGACAAATATCAATAATAATATTTGGAAGTATAACTATGCAAACGTACAGTACCAGTCAAAAGTTTGGACACACCTACTCATTCCAGGGTTTTTCTTTATTTTTACTATTTTCTACATTGTAGAATAATAGTGAAGACATCAAAACTATGAAATAACACATATGGAATCATGTAGTAAGCAAAAAAGTGTTAAACAAATCAAAATATATTTTAGATTTTAGATTCTTCAAAGTAGCCACCCTTTCCCTTGATGACAGCTTTGAACACTCTTGGCATTCTCTCAGCCAGTTTCATGAGGTAGTCACCTGGAATGCATTTCAATTAACAGGTGTGCCTTGTTAAAAGTTAATTTGTGGAATTTATTTCCTTCTTAATGCGTTTGAGCCAATCAGTTGTGTTGTGACAAGGTAGGGTTGGTATACAGAAGATAGCCCTATTTGGTAAAAGACCAAGTCCATATTATGGCAAGAACAGCTCAAATAAGCAAAGAGAAATGACAGTCCATCATTACTTTAAGACATGAAGGTCAGTCAAAATGGAACATTTCAAGAACTTTCAAAGTTTATTCAAGTGCAGTCGCAAAAACCATCACTATGATGAAACTGGCTCCCATGAGGACCGCCACAGGAAAGGAAGACCCAGAGTCACCTCTGCTGCAGAGGATAAGTTCATTAGAGTTACCAGCCTCAGAAATTGCAGCCCAAATAAATGCTTCACAGAGTTCAAGTAACAGACACATCTCAACATCAACTGTTCAGAGGAGACTGTGTGAATCAGGCCTTCATGGTCAAATTGCTGCAAAAAAACCAATACTAAAGGACACCAATAAGAAGAAGAGACCTGCTTGGGCCAAGAAACACGAGCAATGGACATTTGACTGGTGGAAATCTGTCCTTTGGTCTGATGAGTCCAAATTTGAGATTTTTGGTTCCAACCGCCGTGTCTTTGTGAGACGCAGAGTAGGTGAACGGATGATCTCCACGTGTGGTTCCCACCGTGAAGCATGGAGGAGGAGGTGTGATGGTGTGGAGTTGCTTTGCTGGTGACACTGTCTGTGATTTATTTAGAATTAAAGGCACACTTAACCAGCATGGCTACCACAGCATTCTGCAGCGATACGCCATCCCATCTGGTTTAGGCTTAGTGGGACTATCATTTGTTTTTCAACAGGACAATGACCCAAAACACACCTCCAGGCTGTGTAAGGGCTATTTGACCAAGAAGGAGAGTGATGGAGTGCTGCATCAGATGACCTGGCCTCCACAATCACCCACCCTCAACCAATTGAGATGGTTTGGGATGAGTTGGACCGCAGAGTGAAGGAAAAGTAGCCAACAAGTGCTCAGCATATGTGGGAACTCCTTCAAGACTGTTGGAAAAGCATTCCAGGTGAAGCTTGTTGAGAGAATGCCAAGAGTGTGCAAAGCTGTCATCAAGGCAAAGGGTGGCTACTTTGAAGAATCTTAAATATAAAATATATTTTGATTTGTTTAACACTTTATTTGTTACTACATGATTCCATATGTTTTTTTCATAGTTTTGATGTCTTCACTATTATTGTACAATGTAGAAAATAGTAAAAATAAAGAAACCCCTTGAATGAGTAGGTGTGTCCAAACTTTTGACTGGTACTGTATATTGATATCGATTGACTGGAATATTGATTCCAATTTTCCAGTAGGCCTACAGTATTAATGTTCATCCAAGACTACTGTCACTGCTCAGTCAACCAAACACAGTCCATTCAACAGCTTTCAATAAAACACCCCTTGCCTTCAGGGCCGAGATGAATGAATCCCACATGGCAGAGATGTAACGGGACATGGTGAAAGAAATGTAAAGGCTTTTTTTGTCTCTGCTGTCTGAAAAGTGGGACACAGGCAATGGGCATGGGATTGTAAATACTGGGGCCTAAGGGCCTGGTTGGTATAGATAGCTTGTTACAGTGAAATGGTCTAATGTTATGGATTGGAGCTTGCCCTTTACTGCTCTAATATCAACTGTATTGAGGGGACCTAAACATAACCCTCTATAATGCTTGGCTTGAATCATGTCATCGTAAATTACTTGTTTTACATAACTTTATCAACAACGTCACTTTCACATGGCAGTTTTAAACTGTACATGATTATCCACTATGTGACAACAATGAACATGTTTAATGACAGACTAGAAGTATTTAGGTATATTGGTGCACAACGTATTGGGCAGTGGGTGACCTCATTACTGAGGAACCCTTTAATTGGTAAGCGGACGATAATGAATTAATTAGCTGCTTCTTTCACTTGAATAGCTCCAAGTCATTCTGGAGATATATGTGTTGGTAACATATTGTAATTCACACAACCTATTTTGCTAGTCTACCAAAGAAACACCAGACTGAGTGCAAATAGATTATACAGTCTGAAAAATAGAAAGAGAATCATACATTTTTGTCACACCCTGATCGGTTTCACCTGTCTTGTGCTTGTCTCCACCCCCCATCAGGTGTCTTCCATTTGTCCCCATTATCCCCTGTGTATAGCAGTGTTTTCTGTTTGTCTGTTGCCAGTTCGTCTTGTCTCGTCAAGCTTACCCGCGTTTTTCCCGTTCTCCTGTTTTGCTCTAGTCCCTGTTTTCCAGTTTTTCCCGGTTTTGACCATTCTGCCTGCCCTGACCCTGAGCCTGCCGTTCTGTACCTTGTGACACTGTTCTGGATTACCGACCTCTGCCTGCCCCGACCCTGAGCCTGCCTGCCGTTTATGTATCATTCGGACTCTGCTCTGGATTACTGACCTCTGCCTCCCCTTGACCTGTCGTTTGCCTGCCCTCTGTTTTGGTAAATAAACGTCTGCACCCTATCTTATCTCAGTTTCCTGTTTTCATGTATTATTGATGAAACCTGGTCACACACGCCAGCTCATGTCTGCTCTTTAGACTCTTACTGTACATGCATGTCCTCTGAACATGGTTTAGACATGCTCTCGATTCATTTTGCACATTTCTATGATCAGGTTCACATTTCCTGGTGTCATGCTGCAAAGCAATGTATAAGACTTAGTCAATAATTTTGTGGTAATTAGCCTCAATGTGTCATGGGTGGATTTGACAACCAGTAAAAACGCATTAGGATCTGAACTAGTTAATATAATAATAATAATATGCCATTTAGCAGACGCTTTTATCCAAAGCGACTTACAGTCATGCGTGCATACATTTTTGTGTATGGGTGGTCCCGGGGATCGAACCCACTACCTTGGCGTTACAAGCGCCGTGCTCTACCAGCTGAGCTACAGAGGACCAATATCAGGGTTATAGTGTTCCCACTCCTAAAGAAAACCAAACACTCTAAGCAGTCAAAACAATGTCTTCCTGTGAGTTCAAGTGCCAGTAAACAGCCTACTAAACAGGATACCCCGCTCTCATGCTATCAAGCCAGGGTTACTGAAAAAGGACCTAATCTAATCACGTGTAGTAGTTTTCCATTCAGCAACAACACTCTTTACAGTCAGGGCACAATTGCACGAACACTCTCTGGTGTTTTGACACGAAACGACTGGATGGTTGCACGGCAAGTGAATTCCCCTCAGTAACTTGTTACTGATATGTGAATGTACCTTTTGGCTTCTGCTGGTGACTGGTCATGACACTCTATTAGAGCCCCAAAGAAAACATCTACGTAAGGCTACATGGAGCAGAATTATTTGAGGGGTGGCTGGGACACCTGTTCCCCTAGGCTTAGCGCCTTCTGGGATCCTGAGATAGTGAGCTGAAGGGAGTGGTGTTGGGAAGTCTCCCATATTGGATTTCTCCCTTGGCCTAATTTTGTCATTGGTCAAAAATAATGGCAGTTGGCCATCATCTACCAGTCTTTATAAGACTGTTCGAAGTGTTTACTGATGTTGGAGAGAATTATGATATTGGAAACAATGAAACACAGGATATTATGCTGCATAAAATTGCTTGAAATATTAATTATGTTTTTGCAATATCTCCTGCAATAAAATAATTAAGCGATGACAGCCTTCATCTAAGAAGTTTGATTTATGTCATTTGATATCATTGCCATCAAAGAGCACTAAGCACTGAACACTAACCATGCTGTCTACACTGTCTAATCATGACAGCTGTAGAAGCAGTATTAGTACAGGAGTAGTAGTAGTAGTAGTAGTAGTAGTAGTAGTAGTAGTAGCAGCAGCAGCATTACTAATCGTAGTAGTCAGCCGGGCTTCAGAGTCATACGAAACATACTTTATGTATTTCTGAGCACCTCCAAGACGTACAGTATGATACCTACTAATGGTCTAGTTACAGAAACGAAAGAAGGGAGGTTGGTTGGGGAGGATGGGTAGGTGTAATCAGTCTAGCAATCCAAAGGTTGCATGTTTGAGTCGTGTCGTTGACAACTGTAGCATTTTAGATAACCCTTATTCTAAACTTCACCTAACCTGCTACATAAATTAACTTAACCTTTGTCGTTTAAGTTCTCCTAACCTTTTTTCCATAAATTATCCTAACCTTTGTCATTAGTTCCCCTAACCGCCAACGTAAATTCTCCCCATAATTCTTCTTTGTTGTTACAGCATAACAAGCAACCTGGTCTCAGATAAAGACGTGTAATACTATACTGTATGTCCTCCAAGTTGTATGATAAATTAAGTCACCCAATTCGTATGCTATTGAACGACCGGGTAAGACGTACAATACTATTCGTCCTCTCATTCATATGATATTGTACGACCGCTATTCCATTCACTCCCGAGTGGCGCAGTGGTCTAAGGCACTGCATCGCAGTGCTAGCTGTGCCACTAGAGATCCTGGTTCGAGTCCAGGCTCTGTCGCAGCCGGCCGCGACCGGGAGACCCATGGGCGGCGCACAATTGGTCCAGCGTCGTCCAAGGTAGGGGAGGGTTTGGCCGGCAGGGATGTGGGTTTGTTTCCCACGGGGGGCCAGTATGAAAAAAAAAAACATGTATGCATTCACTACCTGTAAGTCGCTCTGGATAAGAGCGTCTGCTAAATGACCTAAATGTAACCTAATGTAACATATCATACTAAATGGAGTGCACAGATTTACATACAGAATAATACGAATTGCCCTGAAACCACGTTGCTGCAGTAGCAGTAGTAGTAGTAGTAATGCCAGTTACTGTTGCTATCCCTTAACTACAGATGTTATGCGACTAGCATGAAAAGCTGTTTCTCCTCCTATAGGGTGTCAGTAGCAGGTGCTGTAGTGAGGGGTTTGCCTGCCTACTGAAGGGGACTGCAGAGTTGTATTATCAGGAGCTGCAGTGACTTTCTGCAGAGCCATGGAGAAGGGAAAGGAGCAGTCAGTCACTGAGGAGCAGAGTAGAGATTGGGCTATGAATGATGGAGGAACACTGGGACGCGGGGCTGGGACGTGGGTAACATAACTATGAATCACATTTTACAGATTCTATCATCAAAAGAAAACATTAGCTGTCAAAACAATACTATGTTGACATAGCAATATTAATTTTATCGTAAATTAGCATTTACTGCCATCAGTTGTTATTATAGGTATTAGCAAGAGACACAAATCTGAAGCATTTAGAGTTATGGAGTTGAAGAGGTGTATAATACAAATGGATGCTTCAGGGTGATGATTGCCATAATGGTTAAAATCTTATGCACACAGTTTCATAGAAAGTGTATACTGCCCTACTTATGGACTTCACAATAGACATGTAACGCATTATTTACAGTATGTCTTCCAGGGTATGTCTAAATGCAGGATAACCAGCCTTTCCAAAAAAGAATCCTCTCTTCAGTCAGTGTGTTTCATGTAGATCCTCAGGAGACTTCATGATTCCTGAAGGGAAAGCTGCCAACTGAGTGTTGCTCATCACCAGTATCAAACAGCCTCACAAACCACCTCTCATGTACTGAGGTAGATTCACTAGACTAAAGGAAGAGATGTACACACAAAAATATGTTTTATATAGTGCCAAATAAGGGTTATTTGGCTTGTAACCATAGTGGATCCCTTTTTGGTGCTATAAATAACCTTCTTTTTTTTTTTAAAGTTCTATAAAAAAAACATGCTCATGAGGTTCTAAATGGAACCTTTATGGTGGTATAAATATCAATTTCCTAAGGTTCTATATAGCACCAAAAAATGGTTCTGCAATGGTACGTACAACCCTTTTGGGGGCTATATAGAACCCTTTTTTATGGTTCTTTTGAAGAACCATACAGGTTTTTTTTATTCTGGTAAGCCATATTATATTATTACAATTCCTTAGATGTTATTATTGTTTTAATTGACACATTGAATTAGGTGTGCTAGCTCTGGAACAGATCGGAATCCCTGAGGAGAGAATTGAGAACCACTGGTTAAGACAACAGTTCTCAACTGACACAAGGCCATATGCAAGTCTTTCACAAGACACAGTCACTGGCCTTAATCATATACACTGTATAACATGTAATGGCATAACACAACATATTAGATAAACTGTAATGACGCTCACAGTTGCACAAAAAGAGCTGTGCGTGACCACACTCCAAAATATTCGAATGAGCCGCAGGCCCTATATTTTAAAGCCCTTATGTGAACTGCAAAGAACCATTGAAGGGCTCAAAGGGTTCTTTGAGTCATTATGGTTCCACATAGAAACCATCACCCTTCCTAAAGAACCCTTGAGGAATCCTCTTTTCTTAGTGTGTAGAGGCAGAAAACTAGCTGAAGTATCGGCCTAAGTGGTGTATGTACAGTGGGACTGAACACCTCCCTCTGCAACTGGATCCTGGACTTCCTGACAGGCCGCCCCTAGGTGGTGAGGGTAGGCAACAACACATCCACCACACTGACCCTCAAC